AAAAGAAAATAAAAACATATTATGATTTGCACCTATTGCACATATTGATTTTTTGTGGTTTTTATTCCTTTAAAAAAAATTTATAACTTGTTGGGTATAATAAAATTAAATCTAAAAGTTATTATTTTCATATTTTGATATTTTTTGGGAATGAAAATTGTTTTTTTGAGAATTCAAATATATATTTTTGGTGTGTTATTTCATTCAAAATTAATTTTATAATTTTAATAATAATTAATTTGAAAATAACTAAACATAGTAATTACTTTTTATTTATTTTAAACTTTTATAAATAATAATTTAATATTGGTCCATTTTTTAGATATATTTTCATGACAAAAATTAACTTTATAAAATTAAATTTTATTATTAAAAATTAATATATTATGAAATAAAAATATGAGGAAAAGAGAGTGTGTGTTAAGAGAAAGAGAGTATAGTGTTGTTGAATTTTTTTATAGCTAATTTGTGAGTGGGAGATCTTTTAATGGGATGACGGACCCCCAATCAGCCAGTGGCTGGAGAGGATCTGAAGCTGGTCGTTGACATCTATCCTAATTGGATGTGCATGTAGTTCTTACTCCTCAATTGTAGATCATATTTTATAATTTACACTTTTTTTTATTTTTTTCCTCTATCTTTCAATAAGTGTATTTTTATTATAAGTATATTAATTTTAGTTTTTACAGTAATATTTATTCTCTAAAAATGCGATTGGATAAAAATATATGAGATTTTTAAAAATAAAAAATTCTTTGCTAGTATTCAAAAGCTAATTTAACTTTGAGAAAATTTACAAATCAAACTATATTTTTAAAAATAGAGTATGAAACACATTGAAAATTTTTATGACTTTAATAATTAAGATTTTGTAAACTTTATCATTAATCTGTATTTTTTTTTTTTTCATTTTTCAAACTGATTATGTTATTACCAGATTAAACTTCAAATTGTGCAACATAAAGTGCTGTTTGTTAAAAATTAATAATCAGAAGCAAAAATTTTTAAAAGCAATTCAACACAGCACACACTTATTAGAAATTATTTTTTAAAAATTTATTTAAATTATTTCTATTTAATAAATTATAAGCAAAATCTATATCAAACAAAATAATACAGAATCTCAAGATAAAAAATAAAAAAAATTAGAAACAACTCAAATAAAGTCACACTATAGCTTATGACTTCTAGTCAACCAATCCATATAAATGCTGGGCATTTACTGGGCTCAGAATCATTTTCAGAAAAGTAAAAGCATTGTCAGATTAATTACCCCCAAAATTAACCCCCCTGGAGAGGATGCTACTTCTCTTTAGGTTAAAAAACAAAAGCAAAGATTACCCCCCTTGGATAGAAAAGTTAATTTGTCGATTTTTATTCGAAAATGTTTGGGTTCCTTTGGGGATGATCCCACACTTTCAAAATGATCTTAACTCTCCATATATGTGTACTCATATATGCGTGAGGTCCACGTCATGAATAGTCCAAATTTATAGAGATCTTGTGAAAGTCTTGTGGAGGTGGAGGTGGAGGTGGAGGTCTCAATCATTACTCTTTTTATTCTATTGATGATCACCGTATTTTATGAACTTTGTCATGAAATTTTTTCAATTTTTCCCTATTTCTCCATGCTATGCGTAGTTTAGCTTTCCTTTTTCTATTTCCATTTCAGGAATGTATAAATTTTGGATAGGATTCTAGTGTTACTGTTGAATGCAGATAAAAGCGGACCAGTAAGAAAACAAATTAAGGAGATGCCACCTAAAACCCAAAATTACTCCAGAATAAAACCCAAAAATTATTTATTATCGTTAGTAATAATGCCATAAACGCATTACAATCATATATTTTTTTGGACTACAAAAGTATATGATTGTTATGCATTTGTGACATTATTTTCGACGATAAGGAATGACGATAAGGAATAACTATATCTGTGTAGACACAACTAATTAATTGTGTTTAGTTACAATAATAAGAGTTTAAGGTGTAGGGTAATCCAAATTGGTTGGTAAGTATACTTTTCACGCAATCGACAAGGTTTCGAATCCCTAATTAACTTGATGTGTGAGGATATAATTTTCAAATATCATTAAAGTTTAATCAACAGGTTTATCAATGACCTTTAAAAAAATTTATTGTAAGAGTTTGTTAAACTGAATAAAGTTGTGTAAGCTGGGAAAATAAAAACAGAAATCATTAAATGTTGGGTCCTGATAAATTTGTGGTACAACCACCCTTTAATTAATAAAAGCAGGAAAGGGTAGCAGAAAATTTAAAGAAATGGATGAGAAGCAAGACAAAAAGAGGGAAAGTTAACTATAAAGCAAGGACTTCAATTGTGACACCTACTCTTCTTAGCTGTCTCTTTAATGAAGGTTTTCTTTCAAAATTTCCCCTTTATAATTGGGGGAGTTATTGGTTATTAACACGGCATATGGTATTTTAAAATATTATAATTGGTGAAAAATGTGAAATTTATGATTTTGTGTTGCACGATTGAGAACATTAGAGGACATGATGAATGATGATTAGTAAAGAAATATGAACACGTGATACTCTAAGAATACTTAATAATTTTCCTTATAATTGGGATTAGAAAGCAAGACAAGCCCATGGTAAAAAAAAAAATTTTAAATTATACATATATATAGACATATCATATTCTTTTCTTTAAAAAAAAAATACTTAGAATGCAATATTGATAGTACTGCATTTATTCTAGATGAGTGTAGTGTTATCATAAGAAATTCGTGACAATTAACATGACTAATGTGACTAAACTCCAATTCGGTTAGGTCTATAGTATATTTTCTTTGCAAATAAATATTTCCACACTCCTAATATTTAAAAAAGAAGAGTAATGATATACAAATAGAAAAATATACAAAATTACTTGATTGTGCGGGGAGTTATTATTTCAAAACACAATAATATCTCTATTAAAATGACATTTAATCACAAAAATATAATAACCAAGGTATTCTGATGAAAAAATTTATATAAAAATTTATCTCCAATTGATTGTACTGTATAGTCCAAAATTATTGGGCAGGGATTGTAAGCCTCACAACAATGAGATTCGTTGTAGGCTCTACAGTAATTTCCACAATATTTTGAATCGGATAGTTTAGAATATTGGAGAGAAATCAAATTTAAAAAAATTTGTAACAATAATATTTTTTTAAAAGAATAAATTAAAAATTAAAAATAGAGCCATACCTTCTCCGAAATGGCGTCTTGAACAACAATGATGTCACTAGTGATAGCAGAAATGACTTCACCGGTGGAAGAAGCATCGGTGTCGAAAAGACTAATGTCTTGATTTAACATGGACCGTAGATATTCCATCCTCATCTTCGCCGCTTGCCTCTCTCCAGTATGCATCCAACATGCCACCTCTATATATAGATACACATACATGCACATTAATATACACACCTCCACATATTTTTAAAAAAATGAATAATTAATATTAATTAGTTCATACCTGTCCATGATGAAAATAATATCACCACACTGAGATATACAAAATCCATTGAATACTGCAACAAAAAATTAGATATAAAAAAACAAATTCTAATTAAGCTATATATAAACAAACAACAATGTTTCATAAAAAATAAAAAATAAAAAATAAAAAACTATTCAGAATGTACTCCGAAAACAACATCAATGATCGCATTTATTAGGCAAAATTTTTTAAATAAAAATTCTAAGTACATTGCATTATTTATAAATAAATAAAGAAGAAAAAGTAATGCATTTGTTTGATAACCCTTTATCAATGAGAAGTGGTTGTAGTTTTACAGGGGTTTAGCAAATGTTTTTTTAGTAATTTTCTAGAAAGTAATAATAAATGTTAATGAAAAAAATGAGTGAAAATTTTATTTTAATTTCAGTTTCAATAATGACTGATTTAACTGACCAAAAAAATAAATAAATAAAACAGTCTTCCAATCAACTTTTCTCATTAACACAAAAATAAACATATAATTTTTTTTTCTCAAAATTTAAAAAAAAAATGATAAAACAATCATTTGCCAAACCCCTCATGAAATTTTCAAAATGTGACGATTTCACCCAAAAACAAGCCGGGAGAGTGGTGACATTTCACTAGGAAACATTTCCAGGTGACCAAAATGATGCAAATTAATTTTTAAAAAATGAAAATAAAATTTCCAAGTGACCAAAAAAATAATTCAAAAAATGAATCAAAAAAATAAAAATACATTGCATATACCTTGGCTACCCTATGAGAAGCCGCAGCAGGAAAGAGATAAGCCATGCCGACGATGTTTATCAACTTTCCAAAAAAAACGAAGAAAACCGGCACCGAAGCGCCGTGAATACACGCTCCGATCGATCCAACAATCATCAGAAAGTAATCGAAAGCGTCTGCGAATGCGAATAGTCTCATCAGTGGCACTTTTTTGGGCTTCTTTCCTTCTCCCTCTCTTGTTTTCACATTGTTTTCGGCTTCTCCGTTAACGGAAAGGGGACTTTGGACACTCATTTTGGGCTCAAAATGTGATATAGAAAGTGGTGTTTGATGGGTTGGGGAGAGAGAGAGAGGGAGGAGATAATGGGAGAGTTAGAAAGTTGAATGTAGTGAAGTGGTTGGATGGCTCATTAAGTGTAAAGCTAAAGTTGGAACAATATATATAGGAGTAATGAGTTATAGGCCTACAGACTCAGAAAAATACTTACAATTGACAATCTAATGACTCAGATTGATACCCACAACAAATACTTTCGATATGCATCATTAATATTATATTTTTGACTTTCCGATAGTTGAGAGTGTTAGGGGGTGGTGGTTTGTTGTGAGAAATGGTTAAGAGTTATGATATAAGGACAACCTCCACCGTAATGGCTGATACAAGTATTGTTGGAAAATAATTATTTTTTTAATAATTTTAATTTAAAATTAAAGTAGAATTTAATCATCGATTAAGATGGGTTTTAGTGGTTTTTTATTTTTTTAAGTAAGAAGATTACAATACAAAAATGATGAGCCAAAACTATTGAGTTGTTAATGAGAATTATCTAATAAAGTGAGCATCAATAAAAGTTGAGTGTAGATCTGGACTTAGTTTTAGTTTGGATTAGGTCTAAACTTGTACTTGTGCATGTGCGAGATTTAGTCTTGGACTTGGATTTAGACTTAATATTGAGCTCGGGTAGGAGTATAAAAATGGCCCGCAACCTGTTGGCAGACTGAAGACCGTCTGCGGCCCGGAGTGGGCCTGGTCCGTTTATGCCCGAGCCCAGCCCAAGACCCTAGGGCTCGGCTTGGACCATCATTTAAAATTCTAGCCCTTGTCGAGGCCTAGTGTCTTTTTTAGTGAAAAATAATAAAATTTTAGTTGAAAAAATAAATAAAAAAACAAAAAAAAAATTTGTTCACACCTGTCCAAGCCCGAGTATAAGACCAGGCCCACCAACTCGGCCTGAGACCTAGCCCACTAACTCGCATAAGGCCCAAATACCTCTTGGGCCTGGGCCTAATTTTCTGGTACGTAGGCCGACCCAACCTGAATTTTGGCGAGAGCCAACAAGACCTGACATGGTCCAGGCCGGGCCGGGCCAAATTTACACTCCTAAGCTTGGGCTAAGTTATATTGTGTTGGGCTTAGCTTTGAGAATTGGGCTTGGATTGAGTTGTGACCCAACATTAGTATCCATTTTATGAGCTATTTAGTTGGTTTATTCAAACATCATTATATACATATTTATTTATATATATTAAACACATGAGATATTTAGACCTTTATAACTCTCTTCTTTTGGTGATAGAGTTAATGACCATATTAGTGGCCATAGGTTTTTAACTCTTGTAACTCTAGCCCTAATGACTAGAGTTGATTACCTTAGTTAATAACATTTGATAGTCCTCTTGATGTATAGCCTTCATGGTTAGGGATTCCCCTACTTATATAAATAGAGATCTTTCCCCTCTAACTTGGTAGGATAATTTTGGAGAGATATTTGATAGAAAATGAAGATGGTGTTTTGAGATAAAAAGTTAAAGATAGTTTTTTACACTAAAGAAATTTTTTTCTATCTTCTTTTGCTAGCCTCTTATTTGGTTCTTATTAGAGATAGTGCATCAATTGTCAAGTTCGCTAAAACTATTCAGAAGGTGCTTCTGTATTAGTTGGTTTCGACCGTCATATTTTAAGAAATAAATTCCGACGTACCTCTCGTATCCATCGGGAGGCGATGAATCTGTTTTAAGGAAACTGTCTAGTGCAGGTTTCGGTTTGCTTATTTTATTATCATTTGTTCTTAAATTTTTCAATATTTAGTTTATAAAGATAAGTTCTAATTTTTAATTTTTCATATTAACAATTTGTTCTATTAGTACTGTAATCTAATTCATTTTTTTATTTTTAGTTGTGTCGTTTATTTTATATTTCATCTTTTTAATAAAGAATTATTTTGTCATTTTTATTTAATTTATTATATATATTTTTCTTATATTATTATAAAAAAATACCAACAATTATGACTATATGCATATATCTTTCTCAAAATGTTTTGTGAGATTTTGACTCTCTAACACACTTTACAGTCCGTGGACGTGGACATGGACATTGGTATGACAGCTGCATTCAGGTAGAGTGAAATTCGTGGGAGATCCCACGAACCCAACAACCTTTTTAAGAGGGTCCTATCTCATAAGATACATTGCCTCCGTTTAATTTGGGGTTAAAAAATCTAGTTTTGAAAAAAAATTTAATTTTTTTTATTTTTTTATAAGAGAAAGAAGGTAATGATTATAGGTTAGATGTAATGTTTTGTCTTATTAGACTAAAATAGTCTATTTGTCTTATATTACTATTTTAGCCCAAATCTTACTTTCCAAACGGAGACATTGCATGCCTCCTTGGTAAAACTCATCCACTATTTTCATTTGTAATGTTAATGAAAATTGTTAAAATTGAAATCCTACGTTAGATCATTAGGATAAATTCATAGATCAGATTATGAAATGGGTTGGCTTTTTTATTTTTTGGCTTTTTTAGCCTGGAGCTAAAAAGTTTTTAGTTTGGAAAGGGCTTCTGGCTTTTTGACTTTTTTGATTTTTTTGTGAGAAAAAGAATATAATATTTGTGGGTTGGATGTAATGTTTTGCCTTATTGAGCTAAAAAACCTATTATATTTTTTGTGGCTGAAACAGTCAAAAAAACCCAAGTTTGGGCTTTCCAAATGAAGGCTATAGTATTAGATTGAGAATCATAAGATTATATTTTCAAGGCAAAATTACATGAAAAATGATCAATAATAATTATGTATGTTTAATAATTTTAAAATAATTAAATTTAATATAATATATTTTTTATGCTATAACATAAATTAATGAGTTTTTTTACAGTAGGCTTAAGTGTCCCACCCCCACACTACATACATGAAAATAATGATTACTTTTTTAATTTTATTTCAGTATACTAGTTTTTAATTTTTAAAATTCTTATTAAAAAATAGATAAGCAAAATGAAATTAATTCCTACTCCTTACTTAAAAATGTTTTTTTTTGGCAATATTGTTTAAAGGAAATTACTTTGGTACACGTTCATTTAACTTCGGCCTCGTTTGGGAACCAATTCATTTAGTTAAAAAATTAAAAAATTATTCAAAAAGTCAAAAAGTCAACAATTCATACTAAAAAATTAAAGATTCTCTTTTCTCTCTACTTTTTGCACATCTTTTCGTAAAAAGTCAAAAAGTCATCTCAAACATATTAGTTTTTTTAGTTCATATTTTAGCCAAATAGCCAAAAAGTTACTAAATTAGTCTGTTCCCAAACGAGGCGTTAGTCCGGCAACAATCCCGTTTGGGGGGATAGCTTTTTGTAGGGGTGTACACGGTCCGGATTGGTTCGGTTATGAGAAAATCCAAAAACCGAACCGATCCTATCCTAACGGTTCTGTGATTTTGAGAACCAAACCAGAACGTTACACTTGTAAAATCGGACCAGAACCAAACCGAAAAAACGGTTCAGTTTCGGTTTGATTTACGGTTCCAAAAATTTCTATTGACAAGAATAAATTGTTAATATTAACAAAATAATTACTCAAACTAATTACATTTAACTCATGATAAAAACTAATAATATTGAGGCATTACTTAATTTTACATATCTATACCATCCTAATATTATTAAAATTATAGAAAACCAATTAATAAAAATAAAACTTGATATTATATATATATA